TTCACAGATTTTTCTCAGGATTTGCGAAAAAATATGTCAATTTCATGGGAAATGATGGGAGGAAATTCCTACACGAAAACTCTAAATAGACATGCCATTTCCCTGTAATATTCAGAAAGCTTTAAGCTATAAGTAAATAGAAACGCAACCTCAAAATGTACTAAATGATAGGGAATTAATTATGTCACATAACAAGAAATTCCAAATCTTGTGGGGTTAGTTAATTCAGTAAGCAATATCATTAAGAGTTCAGGTACTTGCCACCTTCCTACCCTGTCATTCCAGGTACATGGATTCTCTCCTGGTCACAAGATGAATGCAGCTGTTTCAGTTACCACATACTCACATACTAACATCCAGAGCAGGAAAGGGACAATTTATTTCTTGTCAATTTTTTTTTTTTAGTTTTAATGAATAAAATAATCTTTCCAAGAAGCCCTTCCAATGACTTCCTATCATCCTTCATTGGCTAGGACTAAGTAACATGCTCACACAGGGCTGGGGGACTTGGGTCCTCTGGGCCACATGTGGCCTTCTTGATCCTTGAGTGCGGCCTTTTGACTGAATCCAAATTTTACAGAACAAATCCTTTACTGAAGACTGCAAAGAGCTTTTGCTTATGTGGGCAATTAATAATTGTATCATTAATTCATCTAAAAATTAACAATATTAAACCCATCATTTGTTACTGTACTGTGATAAGCAGAATAATGACTCCTAATAATGGTTCACGCATTAATCCCTGGAATCTGTGAATATGCAGATGTGATTAATTTAAGGATCTTGAAATAGGTAGATTATCCTGGATTATCTAGAAAGGCCCAATGTAATTACAACAGTAGTAACAACTGAAAGAGGTGGAAGAGTCCGTGTCACCATGATGTAGCATGAGAAAGATGCATCTGGTTTTTGAAGGTTTTGAAGATGGAAGGAGCCAAGCCAAGGAATAGGGGTGACTTCTAGAAGGTGAAAAAAGTAAGGGAATAGGTTCTGCCATAGGGTCTCCAAAAAGGAATGCAGGCTTGTAAACACCTTTTTAGCTCAGTGAAACCAATTTTGGAATTCTGATCTCCAGAACTATAATAAATTTGTATTCTTTAATCCACTAAATTTGTGGTAATTTGTTATAGCAGCAATAGGAAATGAATATATACACATATTTATAAATGAAAAGTAACTTTTCTAAAGCAAAAGAAAAAAATTGAGAAGTGTGGCATTGATTTACATTTTTGGCACATCTCTTAATGTCTGATATCATAAAAACAGGTGGGTTCTCATATCTGTTTCTGCATTCAGTCTGTTGTGGTATCACATGTCACACTGTCTTTGGAAAACTCCACTTTACACACCGGAAAAAATGTAAGTGGAAAAATATAATTAAAATAGTTTTGACCTCACGGACCTCCTAAAAGAGTCTTGGGCTTCCTTAGGGTTCCCCAGACCATACTTTGAGGATTGCTGGTACAGGAAGTCAACTGTGTTTGCTACATTCCCCCAAAAGAATGAACTCTTTTATTCCATATACTTATAGGGAACTTGTTTGGCCTTAACATCATTAGCTCAATATAGTGTAATGATTTTCATATTTTTTCATTAAGTCAAACAATATTTATAAGAGTTTATTTTGTGCCTGGCACTGTTTCATGGGACAAGGCAAGGTGGATAAATTAAGTCCTCACTTGGCAGGGTGAACTGACAAAACACCCACATTCTCTTAGACTGGGACTATTTAGGCACACAGGTTCACCTAACAGTGATTATCCTCAGTTGTGATGTGTGGGATGTGGGAGGAAATCGGAGTACCCGGAAAAAACTTAGGCAGATATTGGGAAAATGTGCAAACTCCACACAGTGATCCCAGCTGGGAATTGATTTTTTTTTTTTTTTCCTCCTCATCAAATGTTATTCATGGACCTGCTATACAGTCCTTGCCCATGGACCTTACATTTTAGTTGAAGAAAAATAATAAACACATAAAACAAGATGATTTCAGATATTGATAAGGGATGTAAAGAAAATAAGTAATGGGAGTAAACGCAAGGGGTGTTTTGGTGGGCAAAGAGCTACTTTAGAGTCTGCAGAATCTGTATTAGAGCTGAGACATGAATGATACGAAAGAACCACTGGAAAACTTGGGAGAACATTCCGGGTAGATAGAATGGCAGGGGCAAAGAGTAGGAAGAAGCTTGGCAAGTTAGAGGAACAGAAAGAAAGCAACTATGTTTTGAGTGCAGTCCACAAGGGGAATGTACAAATGGAATAAAACAGTGGAAAGAGTCAGGCAGGTGCAGATCATTAAGGTCTTGCAAGATGCAAAAAGGACTTAAGCTTTTATTCCAGTTGCCATACAAATCACTGGAGGAAGTAAGAGACTGGAATTCTCTTATATGGTAGGCTTTGCTGCCTTCTGTAAATTCTTCCACCTTCTCCAAGGACTGCTCTTCAGCCCAACACATTCCCCATCTTTATAATGATGATGCTCCAGAAAGGCACATGACCCCAAATAGACACATCTTGCCTCACATAAATTTTTTGTATGCTAACATCAAAAACAGACAGATCTGGAACCAATCAGGAGAATGTAAATTACAGGTTGCTTGATATGCAATAACTTCTAGATGTTGGCCAGTGTAGGTGCATAGCCAAAAATACTCGGTGTGAATACAATTGTTTGGCAATTACTGGTCCCTTGTCCAAAGCACTAAGTGTGTGAATGGATTTGTATGGGTAATGACTCTGAAATTAGCAACTAGCTTTTCTCCTTTCTCCATGATACAGGAAAACACATCGGAACTTGGCTCATTTCTGGAGAATTCTTCTGATGATCCTCAGTTGTTCAGAATGCACATTTGGTCATCATTATCCCTAGTGTAATCAGTTTCTACAAACTATAGGATGATGTTACAGTTATGTTTGGTGAATAAGGGAACATGCTCCACACCTTAATCAAATCATTTAAAGATGAGCCTTCTTAGATAACATGTATTTAAATATACATGGAGAGTTGTTTGCTATCTGTCCTTGGATTTATGCTATGGTGAGAGAAATTTTGCCTCACTAAAAACCTCTAGATGCACCACGTGCCTAGAACTCTAAGGTATTTACTATAAATGATATGGGAGATGTGATTACCAGACAAATTTTTCCACAACAAAATCATGCATAGAATCCACAAAAGAAGTAACTTCAAATCTGATTTGAAAGGGCCTAGAAACGGTCAGGAATTTGAACCCAATCAGTACACAGAACTACAGGTGCGGTGGCCCCCCCTGTTAAAACGCTGGATCCACGTGAATAATAAGCCTACTCACATTTTCAAGACAGCTGTGGGTACTTGGGATCTAGTCTCTCGTCAGCGGCTCCTGAAAACATTTTAAAGGTTAGTTATTGTGAAAATTTATATTAAACTTAAGACCAGACTGTGAATCAAAGAAAATAAAACCCCTTAATTTCATGGCTACATATTTTCAAAGGAATTTAATTCTGACCTCTGAATGCAATTAAGCAGTTTCTCTCTCCCCCTCTACTTGGGGAAGAGAGAAAGGAAGAAGGGATGATTTTCACTTTTCAGTAGGAATCAGTAACCAAACCTGTTGTTCTGCCAAGGAAGTCTTCCCCGAGTCTCTGATTTCTTAGTGCTCAGGGAGTACGCTTGAAACCTATGCCTTCCTCCCATGTCAGATAAGCAGAAAGTTTGCTCTAGCTATGATAAATCTGCACAACGCGGAGATGTTTTTGGCACAAAGTGTACGTTAGGAAGATGATGATGATTAAGCTCCCCCCGCCCTTTCTTGCGGCCGGGGAATATGTTTTGCCTGCGTTTGAGAAACGTCCTTCATCGGCAGGCGTGTGCGCTCAGACTGCAGCCAGCCTGAGTCTCCAGGGCAGGGCGACTTGGGTCGGCCGAGTGTCACCCACAGATGTGACTGGTCTTCCCCCGCGGGCGCCCGCGGAGGCGACAATCTCCTTCCTCTCTAGCCCGAGGCCCGCGGCCCAGACCAGGGGAAGGGGAAGGAAGCCCTCGCCGCAAGCCGGCGTCTGGGCCGGCACAAAACACGCCGCCACCAGAAACTTTTTTCCCCCAGCTGAGTGCAACTTTTGGCTTTTTCTCCCAGCACGTTCTCGTCCTGAGTTTCTGTCCCCAGGGTTTCCCTCAGCTTCCCTCGCCTTCTCCTCAGCGGCGCGCGGAGGACCTGGGCTGAGAGGGGCGAGGAAGCCGGGGCAGCCGCGGCGGGGACGCCGGAGCAGGGGAATGGGACGGGGAGGAGGGGGCGCGGCGGCGGTCTGGGAGGAGGAACTGGTCAAAAGGGACGGCGACGGGCGACTGCCCGAAAGGGAAGGAGCTGCCGCGCTTTGCTGCAGTCGGAATAAAGTTCGCGCCCTTTCCTCGGCGTTTCGTAGCCTTCTCTCTCCTATCCTCTCTCCCCCCCTTTTTTGACAGCTGGGAGCTAGCGGCCACCTCCACCTCCGCACCCCCGGGGGGGCGCCAGCGTTGTTTTTCCATCCCCAGAAAGTTGTTTTTCCATCCCCAGAAAGAGAGCGAGAGAAAAGTAACGGGGGGGGGGGAGGGAGAAATATACATGCTCCCTCACGAAACCCCTAGAAATCCGAGGACGAACAACAAAACTAACCTACTTTTATTTTGCAAAAGGGAAGCAACATTGTAGTCACGACAATTTTGCAGAGAAAGGAAAAACTTGTGGGGCTTGCACAGCCGCCCTAGGTCACCTCGCCCGCCGGTCTCCCCCCTCCTCCCGCCAGCAGCCCCCTCCTGGGACAGTCCGTTCCTTTTTTTTTTTTTTGGTCCCGAGGAGGAGCCGGGGGAACGCTGCAGGCTCGGACCTGGGGAGCGAGGGCGACCCTGGGCGCGTGTGTAAATCAGTCACCTGAGCGCTGAGGGGCCGCGGCGAGGGCGCGCGCGGGCGGGCGGGGAGAGGCGGAGGCGGCGAGAGCGGCGGCCCGGAGGAAATCGGAGGGGGAGGGAAAGAAAGGCCGAGACAGAAGGAGCGAGAGGCGGCCGAGGGGCTGGTCCAGGCGCGGCCGCTAAGAGGAGACCAAGAGGCGGGGGCTGCACTTGACAACCAGCATGCCGAGATGGTAAGAAGTTTCCACCCTCCTTTCCTTTTTATTCTAGACTTCGTAAGAAATTACTCCCGCGCCCAAGCGCCACCGGGGCCGCCCGGGGGCTGTGTTTTCCTTCAGTCAGGCGGCGTGAGGTGGAGGGGGGCGCTGAGGAGGGCGGGCAGGAGAGGAAAACCCCAGTCCAACCTGGCCCCTGCTGTGCTCCCGATATCCGCCCCTAAACTTGGCCCCAAGTTTTCGAGGCGAGCTCCAGGTGGGAGGGTGTGCGTGAGGGGGACTCAGTCAAGTTCAGCCCCTCTCGCGGCTTCCGAGCAAAGGTGAGCAGCTGGCGAGCGGGAGGCTCCAGGGAGTTGGGGACGGGCTTGCGGGGATGAGGTGGAAGGGCCGCTGGGGATGAATGGAGCGCTAGAAGGAGCTCGGAGCGGAGAGGAGAGCGGTCGGGACCTACCGTAACTTTTACAACTTGCCGGCGAGTGAGGGACGGCGGCTGGGCGTGGGTGCCTGGGCGCGCTGGGGCGCCGCGCGGCGAGGGCGCAGCCACCCGGCCCCAGCGCATAGGCTCTTCCCCTCCCCTTCACCTTCAGAACCTTCCCTTTGTAAATGAAGGTGGGAGGAATGCCCCTGCACGTTTTATGAAGAAGGTGCAGAACGCAGGGCCAGAAAGTCAACCCTAGATAGCTAGATACCTAATTTCGAAGTGCTGTTCTAAAGGAGCCGATTTGTTTTACTTAACACACTGACTGGAGGGTGGGATTTGGGGCCCAGGGAAGGAGCAGAATAAAGAAAAGGTTAAAAGAAAAAGAAACCAACAACTAGGTGATATCCCCTGCGAGGTGAGGCTAAGCTTAAAAAAAAAAAAAAAAGCCCCAAGTGCAAGTGGTGGAGGGAAATGGGATGGCTTTGCGAAGCGAGACTCCGGCACAGTCCCTCTGCGCGCAGCGGCTTCTCTGCAGCGAGGAAGCGTGCGGTTAGTTCGCCTGCTGATGAGCCGCTCTGTCCGCTGTCGGGGAAGTGATTTGTTAGGAATGGGGCTTGACCACTCCCTTCCTTTCAGTTCGCTTCCACCCGGCGTTGCTATTGTTACCTCCACTTGGGGATGTGATATTCTGCCTTTCGTATGTAGATGGAATATATAAGAAAAGAGGGTGATAGCGGGTTGGCATTTTTTCCTCTTCCCTTCCCCCTAATGTGACATCTCTTGTTTCAGTGATCAAAGTCACAACTGGAGTGTAGGAGATGCGACTGTCAAATGCAGGCACACACACATACACAAGCGTGCGCCCAGGACTGTGGTTACAGTAACGCTGACAGAAATTAAAGTGGTTTTGAAAGCAGCGTGCGATTTATGATGGTTCCCATTTACCCTAGAGTCAAGCTGTTGTAAAACTGATGTATAAAAGACATCATAAAATAATCCTGTGTACCCGGGATTAAAGTGGCAGAAAGTGGCCTGTTTTATTATTTTTCATGTACTTCGTGGACACTTGAAATTGTTGGAACCTGTGTTTAAGTGAGGCATCAAAACAATATTAAATATATCTGTTTAGAGCTTGAGAGTTTTTTTTCTAACGGCATTTTACACAAAAACATTGTAAAGGCCGGTTGCAGGTATTTTTTTTTCCCTTTCCCCTAGGCAATATTAACTATTTGTCTACACATGTATTCCCATATACTAATCACTTTGGACAGTGTCTAAGCCCATTTGTCTTTCACTGTTTTATTCTGCAGTTTTAGATGTTACTGTGCACACGCATACATGCTTTAAGTGAAGGAATTTATTTCTGGCACTATTAGTGCATCTGATCTGAAGATCTGCCCGAGTAGTGAGACTTTGTACAAGTTAATAGAACTTCTTTTACCCTTTGGAATCACCAAAAAAAAAAAAAAATCCCTTGTGAATCTTTAGGGAATATTTGTGTTTTATGTTGTATTTGTAGCTGTTTCATTTTAAACTGTTCAGTCTTAATGAAGTTCTTAGTTGTAGCTACTTTCTGTTCCCAGAGAGCAGTGCATTTAAAATCCAGATTGCTAATCACTTTACCAAAGTACAGGAGTAGCTTCACCTGAGGGAAGTAATACTGAGCCTGAATGTGAACTCTGTTTGGAGTATCTGTGAAACTATCTTTATTTTCCTTGGAGAATATTAAGTTGGGTGGTGTTTGCATGTAAAACTTTGAATAAGCATCAACCCCACGTGATATTGTAAAATTAGTATTAAGAAGATATTAATAGCAGCAGTACATTCTTAATACCTGATTTTTTTCTTCTACCTGAGATGTAAGATATCTGTCAGATAGGGATATGTGATTACAAAAAGAAGCAGACAAAAGCAGAGCTGACTATTGCTATATTAAAATGTAAGTGTTACAGTTTGAATTTTCAAGTGAGAGTTTTTGAGTTCAGTGCTTTACATAACATTTTGTCCTAATCTTGCTTGCTGTCAGGGATGTTTCATGGTTGTGCAATTGCTGCAGTCAAGAATGCCAATTTGCATTCCAGGAGTGTCATTTGATTACTTTTATCTGCACAGCTCCAAGACCGGCCCAGACCTCTCGTTTCATCTTGCCATGTCACGAGTCAATGCTGTGTCGTCTTTTCAAAAATCTGCCTGATTTAGACAAGAAAGAAAAGTACTTTCATGTTGCAGCCGCAGTCCCCTGCTAACTTGTCAGCAGCAGGATATGATTCACTTGGGCCCAGAAGAATGGAACAGAGAGGCGGGTTAGGCGGTTCAATAAAGCCCACGGACAGGTAGTGTGTGACACCCCCAGAGAGCCGCAGTTAATGAAGAACAGGTCTGCTTAGTTCTCCACACGCTGACCTGGTGCTGTCCCCACAGTTTTCTCATTTGATCTTTCCCAGCAAATTGATCTTTTCTTGTATTTTTTTTGCCTTCCAAGTTAGTCCTTGTGGGACTGAAATTAGCAGAGCAACTTAAGTTGGATAATACAGCTGTTCAGAAAAGAAGAAATTGGACACTGGCTCAAAAAGAGGTGGGGGGGTAGATGGAGCTATTCTTTTTGTTGTTCCTGGGAATATTTCTTATATTAAGGGAGTCCAAAATAGGTGATGACTTGAAGTTAGTGATTTTCTTTACTTTTAATTTTAGAGTAAAGGTTCAGCACTATTTTAAATGTTCCTTAAGTATTTGAAAGATGGCTTTAGTGAGTATGAAGAACTCGATTTAACATTTTTTTATACTCATTTGTTTGAAATGATTTGCCAGTCAACTTATGTGGCTTTTATGGCTATTGCAAGATGGCATACTTCAACTATGTTATTTATAGTCTTCTAAATAACTACAATCCTCAAATATCCAATACTGAATTGTAGAAAAGATTAAACAATAAAAAAGTCATTATACCAGTGTTGTGTATAAATATTATAGTACATGTAAATGTTTTCTACAAATTACCATCAGCATCTTTTTTTTAACATAAACTCCACAGATACACAGTTAATAAGGGTTTTTTCTTTATTTTTGAGATTCTGCATTTAAATGTAGGGTTTTAAATCTCACACCAGACCATAAATTTGAATTTCTATGGATGTTCACACATGTTACTTTGTTTTTTGAGATTAAAATTAATTTTAGACAAGATGAATAAATCTAAGTTGGGAATGTATGCATAGTTTAAACAGGTTAAAGATTCGCTATAGAAATTTGTACATAAAGCTTGGGTTAGAAGCAATTAATAGAGTCTTAACTTGATGAATACATAAGGAGCAATGCTTTCTGAATTTCTCAGCAGATGGTCTCATTTACCATCTACATCCTTACAAGAAATAGAGTTGAAAACATTCCTTGTGGAATGGGAGGCAGCGTTCTCAAGTCTTTCCTGTTGGATGGGAATTACATAGGATCGTTGGTTAGTAAACTCCTCACTAAAGAGCTAGAGGGAGCCTCATGATTTTATTAGATATACTTAAGGTTTAAAAAAAAAAACCACTCTGGCAATCAGAATGTAGCATAAAAAGAGTAGGTAATGAACACTGGCCCAGTATTTAGGCTTGGAGGTGCTATTATTATCGTTACTATTATTATTAAAGCCATGACAGCAGCAAAAGAACTTTCTATAAGAACAGTCCAGGAGTCAGCAAAGCTTTCCAGGCTTTTACCTTTCAGGTGATTTGAAGATCAGGCAAAATGCAACCAAATATTATATTTTAAATGTTTTGATTTGTCTAACTACTATTTGTTGTTTTTGTCAACTGAAGGAGTTATTCTCATTTTAGGAGGCCAAGCTTCAAAGTTGTGTTCAAAGTAACTTCCTACCAAATCACTGAGGAGTGGGCTACCTTCTTTTAGTTCACTCAGGACAACCTCCTTTTTATAAATGAAGGGTTTGAAGCAGTTGTACATATAACTCCCATATTCTGGAGAGAAAATTCCTGTGAAGTAAATGCTTCATGTTATAAGCATAAATAGTAAACTGTTTATAGAGCTGATATATTAGGGATCAATAAATAAGTTAAATTTAAAGAACTAGAATGTAAGTGGTGTGAAATTGAATATTTGTCATAAAATTTCACATTTATCAGTCTTCCACTAACATTTGTGATATGTTTATGTTAAAGAGTCATTGATCATAATTGCTCTTTAATATTTATGTACTAGTTTTTAGCAACATTACTTTGGACAAACTTATTTGCCATTTAAGTAAATAATATAATCCAGTGAGATAAACTACCCAAATTTGTCCTTTTTTTAATCTCTTGCACAGTAGCTCTCATTATGTTGCTAGCTAGTAAAAGTCTTTATTTGTTGCTTGTTAGAACCCTCAGTACACTCAAGAGTTCAGCTGTAATTTAATTTGGCTGTTCAAAGAGCCTCCCTTGTTTTAAAACATGTTCTCAGTATGCTTTTACCATTTGTTGTGAACCTATGTTGTAAATCATGCATATGCATAAGAACTATAGTACAGATATATAATTCTTAGTTTTTGCCATAGCAAAGTCATAACTTTTTTTCCTTTAAAAATATCTGTACAAAATAGTGTCAGTTTTGTTCTGTT